TGTTTTGCTGCCGTTGCCATGGGCACGGGTTCTATTTACTACACAGATGAGAAGTTGCTAGCTTTCGAAGCAGGTGGGGTTTCTTTTTTCTCCACTCATAGGTTAAAAACTTGGCTAAATATTCATGTAACAGTACGAATTATAGTCAGATGTTACTCCTACGTTTTCTCAGCAGATAGACGGAACTGTGGGGCGATGGAAAGTGGAAGTGTTAGTCAGAAAAGCGCCGAAAAACATTCGATTTTTACGCTAACTTGATAAGACGAGGTCAAAGCCACCATATTGTATTACTACCACCCGTTGGGACAACATCACACTTCGAAATTTTACCGCCAGTTTCTTTGTCGCAACATTTTAAGACTCATAATACTTTTTCTTATTCCAAAAAGGCTGTTCTACATTAGTTTTTATGACTTTTGTAGGCGTTGTATCATCTGCGTTTCGAAGTCAACAATGGCGACAGCAAAGTCAACCAAACAGTCAAACTTCAGCGTTGAGCAGGAGTCGATGTTTAGAAGGATGATCCGTAAAGTGAGAAAAGGATCATCAGAAGACGACTTGGAAGTTGGCAGTAGAACCAAGGTATGCTTTATCTTTTTTCTTAGAAAGTTTTTACCGTCGTTATAACGCATTGTTGTTTGTGTAACTTGAAGTAAACAACGTAAGTTTAGTAGCCAACATTATTGTTGGATGAATTTTGTTTTTGTTTTAAAAAGGCCACGTCAGTAACTTCTGTTGATGCTTCATTAGGTCAAGTCAATTTAGGTTAATATTTCAATGCCACGAACTGTGTATTTAAACCAAGAAATGTGTTTTTGATAATTCCAATTTTCCTTAAAACCTATTTTGAAGCTGTAGACTAGATACAAAACTACAATGCATAGCAAACTTTATGACTCTTCAATCTGATTTAAGCCCATTTCGAGAAATGCTTTAATTACTGAATAGCCTAAATGCAGGTTATAACTTATATAAGTAATATTTTGCCATTGGACCAAAACATTGAAATGCTAGTAGTCAAATTAGTTATATTTGGAATGCATCATCTGCACAAGTTAAAGGTGGACTATAAGATTTCTTGTATATCATTTCTATGGTTTACTAGTATTTGAACATTTCCATGTTAACTCAAGCCACATCAATGTATTGTTAATTGGTTCTTGAATTTTAAGAAATGATGCTGAACTGAAAGACAATCATGACAACAGAATCTATGAGGAATTAGACTCTAACTTGGAACACATAGTTTGAAAGACTGGTGCATTTAACAAAAAAATCCTTCTAAACCTCTGTTTTCATTTTGACATTTGGTTACATTTTTAACCCAAAATGTCCAAGAACCAGTGAAGTTACTTGATATGGTTTTATCATGTTTTTATTCTTTGCTATGTTTTCTCTGTTTTGATATTGTTCTTAATGTGGTATATTCCCTTTTCTACTCAGCCAAGTCAGAGAGGAGACACAGAACACTCTTTAAGAGAGTAAGAACTCAGTTTTAGTCAGCTTTAGCTACTGCCATTTATAGTCAGAAGTAGTCAGACAGTTGAGCTATAATTGTGAAACAAGGAAAGAAAAGACCCAGGCTTTACAGTTTTTATTTGTTTAGGCCACACCAGTTTAAGTTGTTGTTTCTCAGATTTGCCTCTTCCTTTTTTTCTGATTTACAAAAAAAGAAATTCTGGACCTGAATCAACTCATATATATGCTCATATTTTGCCACCATAAGTCGAAGAAAGTTCTTTTCTTTCTATTTGTTACAGTTTTTCCATCTATCAAATTGAATGCAGTGGTTTGATTTTGTTTGATTGAAAATTTATCATTTAAGTATTAACCCAGCCTTTTGTGTTGACTTCATGGCTCCTATTGTAGCATTTGCGGCAATACTAGGATGCCTGTTTTTATTCTAATTTTTTTTCACCCTGTCGCTTTATATGTTTTCTGAAAAATCTGACAACCAACAAATCAAATTGGTGTGGCCTTATCTAACATACCAATACCAAGTATGGGGGGGGGGGGTTTAGAATTGTTTGTTAGAAAAGAAATGTCTCAGTACAATACCAAATACTTTCACTAGGAACATTTTAAAATTGACAAACTAGTGAAGCACAAATATCATATTTTATCTTAATAATGATGGCAGACAGAGATACATAACTGTCTTAAAATATCATGTAATAATAACATGGTCACTTACTAAATTACTTTTGTTTTCTTTTTTCATTTTAGAGCCAAAGAGTGCAGAGGCGGCCTTCTGGGACACCTACAAGACCTCCAGATGTAAGTAATAACTGCATGCTTATTTTCCCCAAAACATTGGCAAATGTAAAATGAGAGATTAAACATCTATCCAACAGCATATTAAGTCCAACAACTGTGACAATGTAAAATGCAAATCAAAAGGTGAGTTATTATCTTATGCTAACCAATCTTAACATACTTTGGGTCATGCTTTGTTTGAGTCATATAATGCTAACAGGTTGGCCAGTGAAATGTAGAGTCTCAAAATTCAATATGCTCAAATCTAGTGAACTATCTAGTGATACAGTCTAGCCACACTGTTATAACATCATGTGTCACCCTATGCTAATTAAGCAGCAAGTCATCAAAATATTCATACATACAAACCAGCATAGATTCAGCCATTAAAAGAGAAAAAAATTATTATATGTTATATATTATGAAATATTTGTTCTTTTACATAATAATTATGCACTACCAAAAATGCTTTTTCTTGTTTTGCTTGTATTTCGTTGTGTAAAGAGATTTTTGTTTTGGTCAGCAAGAATATTATCCTTTGAACAAGAATCCCTGTGGTAAGAAAATGCAAGAAACCCACATTGTTCTTGTTATAATTTTTTTCAGCTAATAAGACAATGCCAAGAAAATTGTTCTTATGATAAGAAGTGCAGGATCATACACAAAAGAATGTCTTGCTTCCTTAGCATCTGTCCACAAGAAAAGATTTTTCTTAAACTAAGATCTAACTATTTGTGCAGCAAGAAAACCTTTATATATCGTACACAAGAAAAGATTTCTTGAACTAAGAGCTAACTGCTCTTGTAGCAAGAAAACCATTCTGTACACAAGAAAAGACTTCTTGAACTCTGAGCTAATAACAATTCTTGTAGCTAGAAAACCATTCTGTACATAAGAAAATATTTCTTGAACTAAAACTCTTCTTGTAGCAGGAAAACCTTTCTGTACACAATAAAAATTTCTTGATCTAATATCTAAACTGTTCTTTTAGCCAGAAAACCAATCTATACAAAGAAAATATTTCTTGAACTAAGAACTGTTCTTGTAGCAAGAAAGTCATTCTGCCCACAAGAAAAAAATTCTTGATCTAAGAGCTACTAGTAATAACAATTCTTGTAGCAAGAAAACCATTCTGCCCAAAAGAAAAGATTTCTTGACTTTCTAACTGTTCTTATAGCAAGAAAATCATTCTGTACATAAGAAAAAAATTCTTTAACTAAAGACCTATCTGTTATTGTAGCAAGAAAACTATTCTGCCCATAAGAAAATATTTCTTGCACTAAAAGATATCTGTTCTTGTAGCAAGTAAACCATTCTGCCTACAAGAAAATATTTCTTGAAGTAAGAGCTCACAGTAATATCTTGAAGCAAGAAAACTATTCTCACCACACGAAAAGGAATATATAGTGCCACATATTTATATATGTTGCCATACATTTATATACATATATCATATAGAATAGAAAATAATGCTGTATAGCAACTAAATGTTAGAGTTAACAATTATTTTGCCAAGCCTCTTTACAGTATAGGACAAGCCTCTTGGCAGTGTTTATTACTACATTCATTATGTACATGTATCAAAAATCAATCCATTAACATTCTCAGAATGGAAACGGTTTTAACAGTAAGTTTCAAAATATCATTTGATGTAACTAACAAGACATTATGATTACAGAATACAGATCATATCACATGCCAAGCAGAATTTCAGCAAACCCTGCAGTTTTGGCATTCACAGCATTGGCACAGTCACACTCTTTGGACACCTGAAAAAAAGGAAAGACCTTTGTTAGTTTGCACTATATGCATGCATGTGCTGCATGAAGGCAACAAAGTCATATATATATGAGGATGCTAAAATACTAGAATTGATTACTTCAACTAAAAAATTGAAAATTATATCATAATTCAGTACTGTAATACACTGTACCGTACAATATACCAGATATATAATTTTGAATTATAATTATCAATCCCAATGGCAATGTACTTGTAGCAATATTTTGGCTGAAGTCTGAACACAAATGTCATAAACTTCCTTGATGAGGAAAAAAAAGGAAATTGAGAAAATAATTCTTGTATCTTCTTATTAGTAAACAGTTGAGCAAGAAAAACAAGAATCATCTGTCTCAAACTTTCTAGATAAGGAAAACCAAGAAAGTTGGGAAAATAAATCTTGTGTCTTCTTAAACAGTATAAACAAAAACAAGAATCACCTTGCTTAAAAATGAGAAAAATAAGAAAAAATGTTGGTTGTACAGGTCATGTTTTTATATGAAATTTGATGTTGTTGATGTTACAGTTTTTAATTTTTGGTTTAACTGCACAATTGTATGATAAGATTGCATGATAAAGAGAATTTGCTATGCAGGGCTTAAGATATTTCTTCTGCAAACCTGCACCAGTGAGGGTAACTTTAAAGATTACCTGCACTAGACATATTCGTCTGCTCCTAATTTAGCAAGTATTAGATCACATTAAACAATGCCAATATTTCTTTTGTACTTGAAAGGAGTTTAAAGTCAATGAAACATTTAAAAATCCACATGTCCTATTTAAGTACATGGACTAGTGCATGTTAGATTCAGATATACATCAGAAAAACCTGCACAGCTCCAATTTTACCTGCACTAACCTACATATACCCAGTACATGGACCAGTGCAGGTTAGGTGCAGGTAGACATCAGAAATACCTGCACAGCTCCAATTTTACCTGCACTAACATGCATATACCGAGTACATGGACCAGTGCAGGTTAGGTGCAGGTAGACATCAGAAATACCTGCACAGCTCCAATTTTACCAGCACTAACATGCATATACCCTGTACATGGACCAGTGCAGGTTAGGTGCAGGTAGACATCAGAAATACCTGCACAGCTCCAATTTTACCTGCACTAACATGCATATGGTATTTTAAATTCAGGCTATACCATATGTTACTTTGATATACCTAAACAGTAATTCTTTTACAGTAAGTATACATTTCATACTCCATTTTCTGTTACAGGAGGCTACAAGCACAAGGTGCAAAATATAACAAACAAGAAAATGTGATTCTAAGGTAAGAATAGCCCTATCCATGGTGCTGAAGGGATATCACCTGAGATCTCGTGTCCATTAACAAAGAATAAACCTCTGATACAAAGTGGTAGTAATTTACTCAGGTGCACTAAAGTATTGACTTTGTTGAAAGTATTGGATATGTTTACAGGGTTCGAAATACTATAGATGCATGCACCTTAGTGCACCCAAAACGGGAGCTTTGCACCTTTTTTTCCCGTGGGTGCACTGGTGCACCTTAAAACTTTTGTAGGTATTTCTGTACATATTAAAGAATACAGTAATACTGGATATTCATTGAATCTAAGTGTCAGAAAATCTTTGTTGCAGTATACTTGTTCAAGATTTTGAAGTTAGCTGACCCATTTAAGATTCAAGCTCAGAAGAGGAGCAGTAAGATTTGTAATTAGGTTTTGTTTTATATGGTGCACGCAGAAAATTGTCTGTGAACCTAAATGTTAAGGTTGGCTGCACTGTGCTAGTTCACCTGTTCCCTAAAATGAATTTCGAGCCCTGGATTGTCTACACAGAATAACATGGAGGAAGATCGAAAGGTCAACTTTTGCAAGCAGATTTTTCAGTACAACAATCTTACAATGATAGACCTGTTTTATTATCATTGGTCTCTTATACATTATTTGTTTGTACGACTTATTTCTAGTGAATTTGCAAGAGGACTGCAGGCTGCCAACACGTAGGTTTAAACATAACTGTCTTGAAGTCATGTAATATAATCTAGAAATAGAGCTATAATCATTATGAACTATTATATATGCAAAGATAACTTGTAAAATTAGTACAGCACTGTGAATAGTAGCCTATGTCAAATGATCTATAACTGTCAGGGGCTGATTAGGCCTCATGTCAAACTGGGAAGAACAGTTTTCATTCCCAGAACCAATAGGAGCTACTAGAAGTATGACTTAGTCAGCCATGTAAAAATTAAGACAACTCAAATGTGCGCCATCAATGAGTAAAAAGAACTGCCACGAGCACTACACAGTAAAGGGAGTAAAGTACACAAAGGTTTACAGAGAATGACTGACAAATTTTAATAGAACAATTTGACCTATTGTTCAATAACATTGTCATATCATGTCTAAAATATAATGTATGATGCTAAACAATTTCTTGTTTGTGTCTTTAGCATGATCCGGCAACTAGAAGAAATTAGAGAAAGGTACGTCTTAGGATTTTAGTAAGAACATTTGTCACATTACATGTTTCATGCCACCTTTTTTGGTGACAAACACATCAACTTATTAAAGCTCATCAGTTTTTTTTAAAGGGCCTAGACTCAGGACTTGAAATACTGCACTTTTGTGCACTCAAATTCGAGTTCTGCACCTATTTTTTTTACCTTGGGTGCACGGGTGCACATGGTTATTTGTATAGAGTTAGGTGAATAATGTATGATAACAATAAGTCTTAAAAAAACAATTTTTTTTGTTTTAACTTATATCTTTTGACTTTAGGTCCTAGGAAAAATGTTGTGCTTCCACTGTTTCCCTTCCAACCCTAGCAAAAACCCTTTGGGTCTAAGCCTTTTGTTTGGGTCAAATGCCGGTCCTTTTTGTGTATTGACTGATACTAACTTCATTTTGAATGCATCAGTGTAATGGCAATGCTTTCTGAACAGTTTTGAGTATAATCCATACTATTCTTCATTAAAAATTTTGAGTGGTAAATGTAAAATTTGACTGGTGCGGGCAATTTTCAATGTTACCTGGCGCTTTCAAGCCCTGTGTCAAAGGTATTTAAAAACCAAGAAGTTTATAATAACTTAGTCAGAGGTTCAACTAATGAAGGTTTTAAGTAAAAGGATGCAAACATGATGGAAATAATCCTAACCTATAGCTCTTCTTTGTTCTGACAGGGAGCGAACTGAGGCAGCTATAAACATTAAAGACCTGGAGGCACATCTGGTAGACACACGACAACAGTGAGTTTGGTTCCAAAAATTGCTCACTCATGCACCCATTCACACACTCATCCATACACCCATTCATTTAGTCCCTCATTCACTAATTTGCTCTCTTACTCAATATTTCACTCACTGAACAGTTTATTATGTCTTGTGCACTGACTGGGAAGTGTTAGTTTTGTATTGAAAATGAACCTTCTACATGATAGATAAGATAAAACTATTTATATATATATATAATATTAAATATTTATTAGAATTCAGCAGCTGTAAGGTTGGCAAATTATGGAAAGCTATCCAAAGAGCCTCAGACTTAAAATGTGTTAAATCATATTTCAATTAACAAGTCTATTCTGTTTACCCCAACAGAATTTCCCAGAAAGATCAGAAAATCCAGTCCTTGAACGATTGTGTAGCTGTTCTGGAAGCAGAAAGGAAAGAGTGAGTTATGATCTTTATTTCGAACGTTTACAAAAACACTACTTTACTCCAAAGGGATTTCAGTGAAAGGATGCAAAAATGATGGTAACAATATCAAAACTGTACAATTTTTCTGTACAGGGAGGGAACTGAGGCACAGTATAAGATCAGTGAGCTGGGGAAGCGTCTGGTACATCAGGCAGCAAACACACAACATCAGTGAGTCAGGAAATTTTACCCACTCACTTTCACTCGATAACTTGTTTATTCACTTGTTTCCTAAGTCATTTACTTGGCCAGTCATCTGCCTACCCTCACCCTATCACTTCAGGATGCAAGTTTCATTCGCAAACTGTCAGGTTAATGTAAATAAACTTTCTATTTTAATTTAGAGAAGTATCAGTAAGGTATTAATGTTTATTTAAATAAACAACAGCTTTAAGGATTGTTTATATTTTTTTCTATTTGCACATGCATATGAAAACAATTGAGAAAGTAAATACAATACACGAATGAGACAAAATATAGATTTTGAAAAAGATTTTGAAAAAAAAATTAACTACACAAAACAAATGTGCTGGAGGATAAACGAAATAACAGCAGAATAAAAGGAGGGCACACCATCGCCGTCCAAAATGGGGATTTAAAATATTATCAGAACAAAATTTTATAACATTTTAAGTCAATTCTTTGTACCACAACAGGATTTCCCAGAAAGATCAGGAAATCCAGTCCCTAAAGGATTATGTAGCTGTTCTGGAAACAGAAAATAAAGGGTGAGTTTACTTTGTATCTTTATTTCATAGTTAAAATAACTATAAGCTATAAGCTACAGCTATAAACAGGGCACACTGTTGTCATCCAAAATGGAGATTCAGAATGATTTTAATAAATCATATTTCATAACAAATCCATTCACCACAACAGGATTTCACAGAAAGAGGAGGAAATCCAGTCCCTAAAGGCTCGCGTAGCTGTTCTGGAAACAGAAAGGAAAGGGTGAGTTTACTTTGTATCTTTATTTCAAACCTTTACTTTTACTATTAAGAAATTTGAGTAAAGAATGCAAAAATGATGGTAGCACTAATCCTGAACTGTATCTTCTGTGTTTATAATGACAGTGAGAGAACTGAGTTACAGGATAAGATCGAAGAGCTGGATAAGCGTCTGGTACATCAGGCGGCAAACTCACAACACCAGTGAGTTGTATGATTCATGATAAAACTCATTCACACAATTAAGAAATCACTCTCAATCAATCAATCATTCATTCACTTGGTTCTTATACCAACCCTTACTTGCTCACTTCAACAATTGCACTTTTATTTGCACACTCTGTCTCTCCTTACTCCACGGTTTAGGCCACACCAATTTAATTTGTTGGTTCTCGGATTTTTTCTGAAAAAATATGAAGCGACAGGGCGAAAAAAAATAAAAATAAAAACAGGTCTAGGCATCCTATTATAGGCTTAAATGCTATGGAATGAGCCATGAAGTCAACACAAAAGGCTGGGTTAAAATTTAAACATTGAATTTTGAACTTTTAATCAAACCACTGCAATGACAGATGGGAAAACTGTAACAACTAGGAAGAAAAGGACTTTCCTCAACTGTTGGGGGCAAAACATGAGCTTTTTTCAGTTGATTCAGGACCAGAATCAATTTTTTTTTTTTGTTTTC